CCCCAAAACCCCAAAACCCCAAAACCCCTTTTAACTTATTGTGGCCAGTTATTGTAAAATTAGTTTAAAATAAATAAGTAATGCAACTGTAGAAAATATCCAGTTTATAGAAATTAATTCTCACTTCTTCTTTTTTTTAGGATTTTTTGCAATTTCAAGTTCTTCTGCTAATTAATCTAACGTGACTTGATATTTCTTTATTTCAGACGTAAGTTGTGCTTCTTTCTATTAAGCATCTATTAGTTAAACTGCATTCTTTTCAACCAAAAACTAAAGTTACTCTATCGTTTATATATCATTTAAGGAGCTCTAAATAAACTCATAAAATTGTTGATAATTAATTTACATTGTTTTTTGTTAGTTAAGTCTAAAGTCTCTTCATTTCTTCCTCATTCTTTAGATCCTTCGCTTTTAACTCATCAATTGTCTTTTGCAAATCTCTTATCATGTCATCCTTGAGATCTAATTCTTGCTATTTCTATTCGATCTATTATTTGTATTGCTATTCAATCTATTAAATGAGAATTTAATTCTATCTTGACTACTGATTTCCTCCCCCTTCTGACAAATTTCCACTATTATCATTTTTCAATGAAAGCGAACTCTCTCTCAAATCTTTGTTATCCTGCTTCTATTTATTTAGTTCTCTTTTGAAATTTTCCATTTCTACTACCATTTACTCTTTCTCTTATAGTGTATTTAGGCAACTCTTGCATGGCCCGTCATCTCTTACTATGCTAGTGTTATTTTTACCAAGCATTTAAGCATGCTTCAATAGCTGATGATATTTATTAGATTCTCTATCTCTATCTTGATGAAGTTAATCTATGTCAGAGTTGAGTTTCTTTATATACTATTTCAATTCATCATTCTTACTCATAAGCGATTCATTTGCTCTGTGTATTTTAAGAGCCTTTTCAACTTCATCTTGATGTCTTTTTATCTCCTTCTAAAGATCTTTATTAAAGTTTTCTAACTTTATAATATGAGCTTCTTATCTTTGCTTATCCTGATGTCTTGCCTCCTCCAGTTTCTTAATTTCATCCTTGTGTTTATTCTTCAAATCTTGATTGAACTTTTTCATTTATGAAATCTCTGATAATTACTAATTTTCTTCTCGTAGTTATTAAAGGATCTCTTGATGGCTTGAATCATCCTTTTAAGCTGAGAGCTACAATCCAATATTAGTTTATTATAGTATTGATTACGAACTCGGGAAATCAATATTTTCTCGATCTCTACTAGGGTTGTTTATTTATGATGATTCATTACTTCTCTTTACCAATGAAGATGTACTGCCATTATGCATCAGAGACTTCTATGATTATTTCCTTATGAGATTTTAAAATTTTTTCTTTTCGTCTCCTAAATGCATGTTTAGCTTTATTATTTCTGCATCTTTTTCATTTAAAGACATCGATAATTCCTCTACTAGTTTTCTCATCATCTTCATATCTTTAGATAATTAATATGTTGTAGATTTAATCTCATTTAGATCCTCATTGTTCTAAGTTCTATTCATAATTGGTGATACTGACCTGTTATTGTACAAGTTTCCATGAGATATATGACTTTGCAAAGGATTAGGCATTCTAAGTGGATGCTATGAGCTCTACAATTGTGGATTTTACTGTATTGGTGATTAATTGAACAAGTTAAATTAATGTTATTACTATTCTTAGAAATTACCTTGAGGCTAATTTATATCTCTAGCTAGAGTTGAATAAGATGAATTCATTATTGGATTTTAGGAACTTAGAACCTGCATCTATTGTTATTGCTACAGGTGAGACTAGGGTTATCTTTATGGCTAATTTTATTGATTAGCAAAAAATCCATTCAAAAACTGAAATACTTTATTTTCAATCATTTTTTCATAAGAGCCATCACCCTGATGATGGTTCATTGAATTTCTGATCAAATGATTAGCAAACGTTTTCGGATTCATCGGGTTCTGCTTATTCATACTATAAGACTATTATTACAATTATGGAGGTGAAGGATTTTCTTAATTCTAGGAGTATTAAGACTGTCTTTGTTAAAGCTAAGGTTAAAATTATTAAGGCAACTAATTTATTAAAGTCATTTAATGGTTTTGTTAGGATTGAAACTATTATTACTCATTTGGCATATTCTGCTAAGGCTATGAATGCATAAGACGTTTACTTTATTAAGCTATAGCAATGATCTCTTCAACACTCATACTGTTTATCTAATGTGGATTCATCCTATCATTATTACTGACATTTTAGTCTTTCTATGAACTAATACGATTATTAAAATTATCTCTTAACAAGGATCCTTCTCTGGAAGTTTGATTAAGATTTCTCCCATTCTAATTTGATATTAATTTTTATGCTATGCTTCTTGGTATTGAGTCATTTCTATTTTGACTGGATAGTTGATTTTATGAAGATTTGCCATTCATACCATGATTTAACTTTTGACTTTGTTTTGTTGGAGGGCTCATTCTCTTGTTAGATTATGTGAATGGGTTAGAATAGTCAAGATTTTTATCGAGAGTAGACATAAAATGATTTTTCTTGTCTAGTTGTCCATTCTAGCTATTATCTCTTTATTAGAAATTTTCGTCATTTTTACTCACTAGCGAATTTTATCTATAAAATATATAAGATTACTTGTTCTCAAATGCTACTTAGAGGGTTGACTGTATTCAATTTATGCCTAGTTAAATGTTCCAGAGTCTTCTTCCTCATATTCACTTTGCAAATGCAGTTTTTCTTTGTTTAGTAACGTCCTATATTTGTTATTCATTGACTCTCTTAGGCTGCTGGCGCCAGGACCTTAACTGTAAGACCTAGTTGTATTTTAATTCATCACCTTATTTTACAAATTTGCAAGATTTTGCTAGTCTAATGCTATATTAGTTGAGTTATTGAGTCTTAATTGATGATGATGGTTGCTGTTATTCTGCATCATTTCTAAATCTATAAAATATACTTTATTTATGAAATAAACTACTACCAAATTATTTATTTTTACTCTCGGGGTTTTGGGGTTTTGGGGTTTTGGGGTTTTGGGG